GGTCGAGGGAAAGAGAGCGGGAGATCCTAGCTGGATCAAGAAAAGAGAGGCAGAATGGTTCTTGTTACTTCAATACACATCAAGTTGTATCCACACAGCTACCACAGAAACAAAGCTATTTGCCTGGAATTGTGAAAGGTTTGTTTTGAAGGAAGGAATTCCAAAGGAAGGTTGAAGCAGTTTGGACCATACACAAACCTGTGAGGCAGCAAACTTGCTCATACACCATATACTTAAATTCTCTCTATGTTGCTAAGACTCAGACCTATGTAACTATCAGATCTGACTGTTGAATGTCCATATAATGAAGTAAAAAGAGTTTCTTAGCTTCACTCCATAGTCTAAAGAGGGTTTGTTCAAATTCAAGCACAAATTAATTGTCCAGAGAGTATGTTGTATTGGTTGAGAAGGAAGGTTCTGGAGACAAACTGCAGAGCCCAGCATTATATCCTATTAAACTCAGTCTGAGCATCACAAACTGTAAAACGAAAATAATACTCATGGTTACCTCATGGGGTTCTTATAAATATTAAATAAGTAACTATATGGCAGGGATGAAGACATCCAATTACCATATCATTCGTTATTGCTATTAGTGTTATGAATAGGCAACAAATGAGATAAGGGATGGAGGTGAGTGGCTGCCACTGTGTGTCTGGTAACTCATGAGTCACAGGAGGAAGATACATAAAGAAAAGTCATATAAATTTCACTCTTTCATATTAATTCACACATGAGTCCTTTGCTTAATGAAAAATATTATATGAAGGTTTAACTCAGATTTTCTTACAACTCAAGTGTATCCCTAGTGTATAGCTTACAGAAGACAGTCACTGATAACAATGAATTGGATGAACATGTAAATTTATTAATGAATAAAAGCACAGTTAAACTCCATTATTATGCCAGATGCTATACCAACATCAGAACACTAATAAATAACTGATTTAATTTTGATTAGGAATATACTTTGTTGTATAAGTTGCAACCAAATAAATATTGAAACCGACTGCTATATATCCTATCTACCACTTGTGCAAGAAAACAGTCCCATCAGAGTTGTTGAGGGAGTAAATGAATTAAGCCTGCCCTGTGATATCATGAAAGGAACAGCCACCCAAAGTCAGCAACCTAGAGCCAAAACTGACTGATTCTTCAACCTGGACTAGCAGTCCATGTTTATAAGCCCAATGGTCTTTATTAATAAATAATTATTTTTTTATTTATTATATGGGAGCTAGTTAAAATAGTCATTTCTTTATCCTTTGTCCATCTTTCATGTGTGCATGTGCTATGCATGTAAGTAAATAAATTCATGATTATATGTGTATTGGGGTAGTGGTACATGTGGAGGCAGAAGGTTGATGTCAAAAGTCATCTTTCATAGCTCTTCCACTTTATTCATTGAGGTAGATATTCATATTCAGCCTTGGAGCTCACAGGTATGGCTACTCCCCATAGACAGCTTCCTCTAAGGATACCCTGCCTCCTCTTTCCAAGGCCGGTATTGTTGATGGGCCATCATGGCCACCTAGTACTTACATGATCTCTGACCCTTACCGTTGTCCTCTATGTCCTTTAACACTCCCCCAGGACATCTCCCCAAGCTTCCAAAATAGTTAATTTTTCAGTGCTTCTCACACAGTATGTGTTACAGAGTGTTTGCTCAGAAAATATTTGTTGTTTTATTCATAAAATGTCATTGACATGCAAAATACACAAACTGTAAAAAGCATGTATGAAAATAGGTTGTATTTAAATACTCCTTGGACAATGGAGGAATTGAGGATTATTTTGTTTTAGAATATTATTATTAATAATTATTATTATTAGCTCAGTATTTTGAGACATTAAATCACCATGTAGTCCTGACTGGCCTAGAACTCACTATGTAGTCCAGACTGGTCTTGAACTCAAAAAGAGCTGCCTGTTTTTGACTTTCAAGTTCTAGCTAACTATTGTTCTTACGTATAAGGGTGTTATGCATGCCAATGTGTCTGTGCACATGTGTGCAGTGCCCACTGGAGGCCAGAAGAAGGTTCCCAATACCCTGGAGCTGAAAGTAAAGAGATTTATGAGCCACTGTGTGGGCTGTGGAAAATGAACCCTGGTCTCTGTGAAAACAGCCTGTGCTATCAACTAAGCATCTCTCCAGCTCCCTTTTCAATTTTTTGATGATATCACATTAACATCTTTATGGAAATCCTTTATTGGCCAGAAATATAAAGTGGCATATTAACTGATGGTGAAACATCCCATCTTAGATTTTTCTCAATATCTGGGCTGAGAATACAGGTGGAGATGAAACAAAATGGATTAAGGGCTGCTTCAGAAAGTTGCTCACAGGTTTCATGTCATCTTTGCCTCCAGATGTGCTGGAGACTTTCCACAGTGAAAATTAAAAAGAATAATCAGTGTGCCACACATAAGCCCAAAAGAGCATGCTAAGAGTCCTGACTTTCAGCATTTAACTAATGCTGTCTTATGTCTACTCCACACAAGGCACTGTGCTCAGTCAACTGCAGACAATAAAGAAGTACTTCTTGAAATACAGTAAGAGTAACTCAGGTTTATTTGGGTTTTGCTTCCTCCTGTGTTTTGAGAAAGTGGAGGACCCAGTTCATATTCTTCCACTAGTTCTGATTATCATGATCATAAGTGCCTTGATAAGAGCACAAGTGATAAGCAGTGATAGAGAAGGGGACAGGGAAGCAGAAAACCTTCCTCAGAAAGGTGGAATTTAAATGAGGTATTGAAATGTGGGTAGGATTTCAAAAGAAGGCATAAAAAAGAGACAAAAAGAAAAAGGAAAAGAGGAACCATATCACACCAAAAATACATCAAAGAAAGCCCAAATCAAAAGGTATGAAGATCTTTAAGGAGAAAAAAGGACTATCAGGAAGAAGTAAATGATTCAAATTATTTTGAACTGCTGTGGAGATGATCTTGGAAGATATCTGCTTGAGTTTCTAGGGCTATCAAACATCTCTCAAAGAGAGTTTTGGGGGCCAGAAATCCAAAATCAAGGTATGTTTTGCCCCTGTGAAGTCTGATGATAATCCTTGCATCTTCTAACTTCTAACTTACTTGCTTACTGAAAGTGTTTGGTATCCCTTGGTTTGTAGCTGCACAAACTAGTTCCTTTTCTGTCTCCACAGAAGACAGGACAATAGTAACATAAGATTATAGGTCAATATTCTCTAACATCACTTCATCATGAATTAACTAATCTCATTGATAAAAATCTTATTTACCTAGGTAGGGAAATAACTCAGTAAAGTACATATCTTTAAAGCATAAGGACTGAAATTTAATCCTCAAAAAACACATAAAAATTCTCACATGGCAGCACATTCTTTTAATTCCAACACACAGAAGATGAAGATGGGGGCTTCATGAGCAGCCAGCCTAGCCCTCTTGGTGAGTTGCAGGACAAGTTTTAATAAAAATAGTGGACAGTACCTGAAGAATGGTACCTAAGTATATCCATTGTCTCCCCTATACATGTACACATATGTATATGTGAACCCATTGTCTTAGTTTTATTCCTCTCATTGTGTTAAAATATCCTGAAAACATCAGCTTGGGGGAAAGGTTAGTTTCACTCCATTTCAGGCTGAAGTATACCATTTCCAGGAACTCAAAGCCACAGATAGATACTTGAATCATCTAATCATATTGCATCCATACTCAAGAGAAGAGAACAATAAATTAGTGCATGCTTGTGTATCAGCTTGCTTTTTCCATTCTTACAGAGTTCAAGGTCTTCTGCCTAGGGAATGCTGTCACCCACAGTGGACAAATCTTCCTAACTCAATTAGTATAATCAAAGTAATTTTCCACAGATGTACACATAGCCAAACTGACCTAGACAATACCTTGTTGAAAAATTTCTCCCTGGGTTAACTTAGATGGTGCCAAACTGACAACTAGAACTAACCATCATACCCTACACACACATGTTCCCATATGCAAATGAACACACACACACATTAAAATTCTATTTCTGAGTTAGAAGGCATTATAATGAGATTAAGAAATCAGTCACTGTTACATTTTTTTTGTATTCATTCATTTATCATCGCTTCTCTGTGTGGATGAGTATGTGTGTCAATCTGTTTGTGTGTGTGTGTGTGTGTGTGTGTGTGTGTGTGTGTGTGTGTGTGCCTGCTGTGTGTATGTGTATGAGTGAATGCCTATGTGCCAAGGCATGCATACAGTGGTCAGAAGGCAATTTGCAGGAGTTACTTCTCTCTGTTCATCCTGTGGATACAAGAAGTCAAAAGCAGGTAGCCAGGGCTTGGCATCAAGTTCCTTTATCCACTGCTCCATCTCACCAGTCCTCAGCCATATTTTTAAGGATGAAAGTAAAAGGTTTTCACTGATGACAATGCTAAAGCAGAAATCTTTCCAAAGTGAGGAGCATGAAGTATAAATTTATGCTGTTATTTAAACAAATCTCTTGAGGCAACTGGACTATTTGGGCTCTATACTTGGTTCAACCTATATTCATCCAGGTAACCACCTCATGCAACTGACAAACCTCTTGAAGGATGAAATAAAATGATGTTTCAACCACTTTGGAAACCTCAGATCTGTGGATTCCAGAATTTTTTTTTTTCTTTGCCAGTCATCCTACCATCAATATCTAATTCACTGGCCCAGCACAGAGCAGTTGAAAATCTCTTGACTGTCATGTGGAAGGTTCTCTGAATGTGGTTGTAGCTGAGTCTGGCAGCCAAGGGAGGAAAGCAGCACCCACCTTTCTTCTTTCCTGTCAGCTGGAGGAAGTGTTCGCCTGTAGCCTTCCTCCTACTCAGTAGCGCCCTCTTCACGTTCTTCCCACCATGCTATGCAGCAAATCTGTTCTCTGTCTGGGTGAGACCACAACACATGAGCATCTTGTAAAAAGAGTGGGTGCTGCTTTTGAGCAGAATAAAGACAGTCTAATTACCTCAGAAGTGTCTCAGGAAACCGGGCCTTTCTGCCTGCCTTGAATTTTCACTCTTTCTTAATCAGCAGAGTCAGGTTGGGAGATGCTTTGAGTTTCTAACAATAGGACTATTACTATTTGTGTCATCTAAAATGATTCCAGCTGTGTAAGTTTGTGACAAAGCTCTGAAGTGTTGTGTTGTTTCTATTTTTTGAGCCTAATACTTACTATGCAGTTAAGTACGGCCTCTGCCTTATGCTCTTCCTTTTGCCTAGGTTTTCTGAGTACTGGGATTACAGGCATGAACCACCATTCTGGCTTTGAAGCTAATTTCCCCAATAAACATTATGTTTGTTGCCTCTGTGGAAAAAAATTGATCAAAAATCTGTCTCAAGACTCCTCACATTCCAGAAGCCTGATATGAAGAAATAATTCTAGCACTTAGCTAGCTAGAGTTGAAAGGATGAACTCAGCTTCATCACAGCATGCTCAATGTCAATACTAAATAGAAAATGACTATAAATCCAATGATTAAATAATCTTCAACCTCAACACTTACTACTGTAACAACTGGGCATTAATACCAACTGAAGATTAACCCTGGTTTAATTAGCATTAATTTTCAACTTAACACATAACTAGATCCACTGGAGAAAGGACTCTCAATTGAAGGACTTCCCTGGTTAGACTAGCCTGTGGTCATGTTTGTAAGGAATTGTCTGGATTGTTCAATGGTGTAGGAGAGCCCAGCCCACTTTGGGTGACACAATTCCCTTGGCAGATAGTCCTAGGCTGGATAAGAAAGTTAGCTAAGGAAAAGCATGTGAGTGAGCTAGCTAATGGACTCTTCCATGTTCCCTACTGTATTTCTGGGCTGTGAAATGAGTTCCTTGGTTGAAGACAATGGCACATGAAATAGCAAGTGATCCGGCTCTCAGGTTCCTGCCTTGACATTCCTCCATAATAACAGAAGACCTAGAAGTGTAAGCTAAATAAATCATTTCTTCCCTTAAGTTGTTTTTGGTCAGAGTGTTTTATCACAGCACCAGAATGAAACGAGGGTGGAACTTTACCTCATGTATGAGAGAGAAAAGGAAACATTCCTTTTATAAGGTAGTTTAACTCATTCTTCTCCACATCTCACTGTAATGCCTTATGGATATATGCAAAAACAAGTCTGGTAACACTGATAATAGTAATCTGTGGGGAAATGTACCCAAGCATGTTGAGAGTAGATGTGTTAGACTTCTCATTACTGTGACAAAAACACCCAAACTATCAGCCTGAGGGAAGAAGCATATATTTTGATTCCTGCTTTCAGAGGCTTCAATCCAGGTCCTCTTCACTCCATGTCTCTGCACCTGTGATGAATCAGGACATCATGGTGGAGGGAAGCTCTTCAGCTCACAATGACAAGGAAGCAGAAAGAATACCTGTTCCAAGAGACTTTATCGTTTTTCCCTCTTTCATCCAGTCATCTCCCTGCATATTTGATGGCCCACTCATACTCAGGGTTATCCTTCTGTCCTTAATTAATCATCTCTGTAAACATCCTCAAAGTTACACTCAGAAGAGTATTTCACCTAAGTCCTTCTCAATTTCACCAAGTTGACAACTAAGTTTACTAATCTACCCCTTGTCAACTTGACACCCAAATAGACTACCTTAAAGCATACATAATCTCCAACAAAAATAATGAAGAATTTAAAATTTTGCCTGACTTGATATCCATAATCTGCACTTAATTAAAATAAAGTCAATTTCCCAGCAACTTAATATTTCAGCAGCCCATAAATGCTCAAGTCCAGAGTTTCCTCTGACATTTCACAAAGAGCTCCTAAGGCTTAGGCAGTAGCAGCATAGAACTGGGTCCCAGGCAGGACATCAAACCCTTGTTAACCATTCATGTTTCCAAGGCCACAACAACAAAATCTACCACTGTAACCTTCTCAGGGGTCAGAATGTTGAGCTCTTTGAAAAGGAAAACTGGGCCACACACTTTTAGAGCTGTGTTCTGTAATGATTTGCATAATGACACAGCTATGGAGACAGGGTAGCTCTTAGGAGCCCATCTGAAGCCATGGCATCTGCTCAGGTGTAATGCACTAGGGTGTGAAGAGAAGCAATCCCAACAGTCAGTGTTACATTAGATTCTGCCTCACCTTGTCAGAGTCTCTTTCACATTCATCACAGAAGCTCTTGGCCCTCCTTCTTGGGACCATATGCTATGCTACTTCCCAGCCCTCACACTGCATTTTTCATTAGCCTTTTAAAAGATCTATAATAACAGGCTAAGGAAGACTTAGTCTCCCATCCATATTAAAATGCTTCAAGCGGAGCTGAATTGAACCTTGGGGAATTGTTCTAAGGAAGAATCCCAGTGCAATTTCACTCACAACCACTTAGCTCTTCTCTGGCCCCAAACTGCCAGTTGAAAACAAATTCACCAGTCACCACAAATATTAGCAACAGATAACACACAGCATATGGCGGGGGGCCAGAATACTTCACAAATCTGAGTCAGGCGACTCCAGTGATTAGTGAGACATAATATATTTTCATCTTAGAGATGAGCTGGAATGAGCTACCCAAACAGGGAAACTAGAAAGCAGCTCCATATGGTGCCAAGATGATCAGATAGGGATTGGTGAGGAGTGGGGGTGGGGTGGAGCTTTCCTTCTTAGTACCACTCAGAAGTCACTGCTTCAGAGAATGCCATGGCTGGAAAGACTCTAACATCAGATCGAAAATATGACCTTGGGGTTGACCCCTTGCTAAGTTTCAAAACAAGTCTATTCAGGGGGCCTGGTGCGTTGGTGCCGGGTCCTGAGCTCGTTGCATGAGTTGGCTGTTTGAATCCTGGGACTTATGCAGGGACGCTTGGCTCGGTCTGGGAAGGGGGGACTGGACCTGCCTGGACTGAGTCTACCAGGTCGACCCCGGTCCTCGGGGGAGACCTTGATCTGGAGGAGGTGGGAATGAGGGGTGGGCTGGGGGGAGGGGGAGGGGGGCTAGAGGGGGAGAGAACAAGGGAATCTGTGGCTATTATGTTGAACTGAATGGTGTTGTAAAATAAATTTAAAAAAAAAAGCCTATATCCCAGGGAATCTCCCTTTGTGTCTTCTAGTAAACGTTGGTACTATCTATCATTTGTGAGTGGGGAGACACCATGGCACGCAGAACGTACAAACCTAGATTTGACCAAAAAAATAGATTGACCCAAAGCCAAGAGTTTGTCTCACTATATTACATGATAAACATTTTAATGTTTAAATTTGGATTAGCCCATCATCAGAGGAGAGAAGAATAAAAAATGATTCTAGAAGTCACAGCAAATTCAATTTGATCTTTGTGTGTGATTATTAAAATTGTACATAAGAGAGATATTTAATATAGCCTGTCTGGATTCAACTATCTCTGAGGGGATTCTTGGAGGAAACAGGAATGACAATAGAATAGGTGGGAGTAGAGTAAATGGGAATAATTTTCAAATATTCAAATATTAAGCAAATAATATTATTTGCACTTGGTATTCTAGAAACTGGAAGTGGTTTGCTATAGATTTGTGGACTTAGCCTATTATGAATAAGGAATTGTTTTAGCAACAAATTGAATAATAACATAAAAGCTACTGACCACACCCATTGTAGAGATGCAGCAGGTACCCTGCCTGCATCATTTCATCCTGCTGTTTTGATACACATCAGCCTGATATCCAGCCATCAGAACTCTTCATCTTTGCTTCACTAGCTCCTACAGTAGGTTTTGACCAGTTCTACAGCAGTGCTGAAGCTCTGGATCATGAGAATCCCTTTGAACAGCATCAAACAATGCCTTTTGGGCTTCGATGCACATAGCCTCCAACTCCCTTCTCAATGGGGTAACTCCAATCTGGCACAAACTTTAGTGACCCACAGTGGTTGGTTTTGATACAAGTTTCTTTCATTTTTCATACATATTACTTTTTCTCATTACTGTGAGAAAATTCCCACCAGGCTATTTAAGACAGGGAGGTTTTGTTTTGAATCAAAGCTCCTGGACACAGTCCATGATGGCAGGGAAATCACTGTGGCAGGAGTTAGAGGCAGCTGTTCACATTGGAGCTACAGTCAGAACACAGAGAAAGACACATGCTGGTGTTCAGTTTGCTTTCTCCTTTTTTTTCTTTTCAGTCTAGAATTTAGCCCATAAAATTGTGCTTCCATATTTAAGACAGGTCTTCTTACCTCAACTAACCTAATCTAGAAAATTTCTCATAGACGTGGCCAGAGGCTGTCTCCTATGTGATTCTAGATGTTTTTAAATTGATAATAACTAACAATCACACTGTCTTATTTCCTTGTGTATTTACTGATGTTTCTTGAGTTTATGTTCCCAGCAAAAGATCTGGATCAAATATTTTAGTACTTACCTTTAAGAATACTCAGAACTGTGTAAGTGGCTCCAAGAGATGCTCAGAATACAAGCTGGACCACATGCAGGATGTGTAGAAGCACTAATCCTACTATTGGTGATTAGTAAAGACAGAGAAAATCATTGGCATGCTGTCATACCAACATGATTAACACCTGATAAGTTCTGGGACAAAGAGATATCTCTAATATCTCCAGTATATGACAGGCATGGCAATAAGACATGATTCTAAGAGCCATCAGTATCCTGGAGAAAGAAAATGCAAACTTGGGTCAGACAACATCACATAAAACAACACACTCAGGATTGCACTGAATAGACTGAACTATTTCTGATAAACCAAAGACTATAATAAAAATTTTACCTGACACTTCAGACTAGTACTTGGTTTTGGAGTCACTGAGATACAAAGAGGGGAAGCCCCAGCTAGTCTCCTATGATACGGTGAAGGCCCTGGTGAGAAAGAGTGGAACCTCAGTTGCAGGAGGATATTCAGTACTAGCTATTTTTGAGATCTTGGAACATTCA